CCCGCCTCCCCCGCCTCCAGGCCCCCAGTGCCCTCCTACGCAGCCCCCACCACTTCGCAGCTGCTCAAGTGAGCCCCAGGGCCCTCTGCTTCCACTCTTCGCTGTCTCCCCCCCTCCACTGCAGAGAACGTTGCAGGGTTATAAAAGCTAAGCTCTGAACTCTAGGCCCCAGATACGTCCTTTTGCTCTGCGCCTAGGCCACAGGGGCACCGGTGGTAGAGGCGGTTTGAAGTCTAAGCCCTAAACCCTAAACCCTAGAGTCTCGGCCCTAAAGCCCGCCGCTTCTGGGGAGTGCCCGACGCATCTGCGGTTGCGCCCATGCGTGTCTTCTTTTTCGCATGCAGAAACAGTCTTCTCTATATCCACGAAGATATGCTGGAGACGAACCAGAAGACGCAGGCCGTGGTGGATCAGTGCCTCCTGGTGCCTAAGCCCCTGACCCTACCCAGCGCCGTAGAGCCCTAGGCTAGCTGGCTAGCGCCCCACGGCAGAGCGCCTAGAGACGTAGGCAGCTAGTTAGTGCCAGGCTGCAGAGACACCAGAAACGCTGGTTAGCTGGCTAGCTCCAGGAGCAAAAAGCAAGAGATGCAAATGCACACAACAAAGGCAGCAGAGGCCTGCACTGCGGCCCCCACACCCGTTCAAAGACACGTTCTTTAAGGTAGCGCAGCAGCCAAGAGCTAAAGGGCGAGAGCCAAGAAGGGGCCAGGCGCCCCTGCACTTACTGTAGGGCGCTATAGCTGCTAAGGGGCACACGCGGCAAGGTTTGAGGAATAGCCTAAATACCCGGAGACGAAAAAGACAAAGCTGGCTACATTTCCTCGAGCCACTAAACCCTAAACCCTAAAACCCAATCTCAGCTACGAGAGAGAGAGAAAAACGGGCAACAACGACAAAGCTGGTTACATTTCCTCGAGCCACTAAACCCTAAAACCTAATATCAGCTGCGTAAACAGAAGAGCAAATTCGACAGAGACTAACCGCCTGAGACGTGGAGGCTTGCTTTTGCCAAATTCAGCGCCGCAGAGAAGCTCACAAGAAGAAGATGCGTCGGGTGTACGAACAGCGCCTGCCAGAAGGCGCAATGGACTGTCTCGTCCCTACAACTCCAGAAAGGAGGCAGCCCCCTGTAGAGCTGCAGCCCCCGCCGCCGCCCCAGCAAGATGCGGGCATCAAAGGCGGCATTCGGCAGCAGCAGCAGCAGCAGCAGCAGGCGTGGAAGAGGGTAAGTGGGCATGGGCTTTGCTTGGGGTTTTGAGGCGCTTGTTCTCTTGGTATGCGTGGATGCGAGGTGTATAGACACCTGACGCCGTTGCTGCCGCAGGCCTCTATCGACATCTCATTCACGAAAGGCATTCCCCCCGCCTCGCGCCCGCCCTCTGCTGCCGCCAGAGCCGCGAGCGGCTCCAGCAGCGACTCTGACTGAAGCATGCCCTCCAGTTGCGCCTCATAGAGGCTGCCTCTGTGGCCCCGTGTCTCTGCCAATAGAGGCCTTAAGAGCCTGGTACCAGCAGCTGCCCGCGGGCCTTGTTGCTCTCCAGTAAGCTTCGATAAATAAGGCTCTAAGCAGAGAAGGAGAGAAGGAGACACGGCAGAAGGAGAGGCAGACTGCTTGGTGAAGCTCCAGACAAAGAGAGCCTGGCTGAGAGACAAAGGCTCCTATGAGAGACACGTGCCCCCTATCTCAATAAATTATGCTTACGCCCTCTCATCGCATTTGTAAGAGGAATAACGGAAAACGCAATCTGTCTCCTCAACCCTGAAGTGGAAATATTGTGCGGCCTTCTGGCCGTCGCCTCGTCTTTCAACGACAACAAAGCATGCACGCCTTTGTTGTTAAAAGACAAAGGAAAAGGCGGACGGCGTCCGCGCACACTGCGTGGGGAACGAAGACAAACAAAATGAAAAGAAAGAAAAAGCGACGGAGACACTAAAAGGCGACAGCTTGCGCCTCCTTCCCTTGCTACATACTTGCCTTTAAGCAGCGAAGAAGAAAGGAGACACTCTAAATGTTGCCTTTGGCCTTATCTAGCTATGAAGGAAAGGTCAGACGACACCGTGAAGTGTCTGTACATCTGAGCGCCTTCTGAGACAGAGAGGCCCTTGAGTCTGATATTCCTTCTTCACATGCCACTTCTGTCTCCCGCTTTCTACAAGTCCATCTTTGTCTAGTGAGGAGTGACATGCCCTTGCTTGACAGCTTGTGCGCACAAGGACGAAAGCTTATCGCGAGGCACAGAAATTTAGTCTCCTAAAAGGGATTGCCTTGAGCCTACGGAGCTTAAGAGTTTTCTCGCAAGAACTGTACTTCTGTGATATAGGGGGCTTCGAGTTGAAGCGGGTTAGTTTAAATGGGTTCGATTTGGACTTGATTTTATATGAACGCGGCGTGATTTAGACTTTATCTTACTTGAAGACGATTTGTGTTGTAAATCTTGGGGTGTCTGTACTTTGTATCTGCAGCGAGGAAAAGTCCACGATTCATATAGACAACTTTGGCCTCTAGAGCTGCATAGTGGCAGCAGAAATTTATTTTTAACCCTGCACAGCACCACGCAGCCCTTCGCACGGCTTCTCCTGCCAGAAGCTTGCAGCAACCACTGAGCTAGGGAGCCAACTTGTGGAAGAGAAGCCCCATGTGGGGGAGATAGGCACAGACACAACAGCACCAGCATATCTTTCAACACAGAAATGAGGGGCAAGCCCAACTGCTGCCTGCAGGCAGCACATGTCATTAGTGAGCTCAAAGATCTGCACCTTTGCAAAGAAACTTCCGGGAACCAACGTAGCAGCAGCTGTACGCCTTGCTAGCTTTAGCAGAGCCAAAGCTTTTCAGAGGCAACTGGAGGTCCCCAGTAAGTGCCTGCTGCCTCCCACAGGCTTCTATCGCCTGCCGCCCCTATATTATCTCGGGATAGTTACCCTGAAGTTTACTAAGGGAGCTGCAGTGCTGTCGTGGGCACCTTTATAAGGGCTAAGGATTTAGCGCATGCCAAGCGCTACTGGCCGCCCTAGGACTGGCAGCTGGCACACAGGCTCACCGGTTTTAGCAGCCTGTGGCGAATGCAGTTGTGAAACCTGCCAAAGTTAGAAGAGCAAACCTTAACAGAGCTTGCTGTTCTCTTTGCAGAGGCAGAGCGTGCCTCCCAATGGCGGGGCCAACGCGCAAGCCTCAACCTGAGGGTTGTGAACGTTTGCCCGTAATTCACATGCTTCTTTTGCTGCGGGTCTTGCTGTTACCAAGGTGCCACAATTGTAGCAGTAGCAGCAGTGGCACCTACCATGTTGGAGCAACAGGAGGGTTGCACTTGCTGTTGCTGCAGCAAACGCGGTGGAGCGCTTTGTTTGCCGCTGCAGCAGCAGCAGCAGACTCAGCCGACCAAAGAGGAAGCGAAAGCCGACGCCGAATCACACCACCCCCGTGAGGTGTTGAAGGCGCGTGCTCTTATACTAAAGACTGGGCACTGAGAGGCTCGTGCACAGCATACATAAAGCCCAACGCGTGAACTCGCTGTATCGAGTGAGGCCTCAGTGAACCCTTACTCTAAGCAAAAGATGCGCAACTAACTGATAGGGTTTTTGTTCGCGGGCGCACCACAGCGAGGACCCATAGCAGCAGCTGCTGCTGGCTTTGGGCAAATATAATGAGGGTGCGAGGGCCCCTATGCCTCGTTTTGCCGCGAGAGCCACTTTGGCGCTGCCTCGTGCTGCTCTGCTGCTATTGAGGGCCGCAGCGAGTTTGCCTAGGTGGCTGTGGGGCCCCCTGGACCTTCCCCTGCAGCTACGGGGACCCATAAAGCTGCTCTGCTCACGGGATATGCATGCACTGGCAGATTCAATTCTTATTCAGCTGTTTCTTTTGGCAAGTAACACTGAGTATGGAAGGTGAGGCGGCGGGGCTTCTGAGTTCGGATTCTGCAGCTTTATTTGCCTCTTTTGGGCAGAAGTGACATTTTTTGGAGCTATGAAACCAGTGAAGGCCGTTTAAATTACTAAAAGGCATAAAAATGAAGTAAACAGCAGATTGGGGGGAAGCCGGTCAGGGCTAGCTTCGTGCAATCCTGCCGTCGGTGCAGCAGATAACACAATTTCCCAAAACCCTGGAAGAAAAATTAAGCATAAACAATTTTGGAACTAAACAAGAAGTAATGCAAGCTTACAAAGCCCCACAAATGCCCAGGGCATCCCAGCAGGGTACGGAGAGGCAGCGAGGGCCCGTTTATGGTTGCTGCGCTGCAGGCGTCACTGAAATACAGTTCGCGTTTATCAATTCCCCGAATAAAAAAAAGTCCACTTTGTTTAATTAAATTACAAAAGGATTTGTTGCGGCACGCGGGAGCCTGGGGCTGCAGCCGCTCCGCAGCAGCCGCAGCAGCAGCAGCAGGAAGAGGCGGCTGCTGCTGCAGTGGCTGCGGGCGGAGCGGGGCCTGCATGTGCTGCGTTTGCTTGCTGCATTTCAGTTCACCGTTGTGGCTCGGAAAAGGAGAAAGATTTTGATTTTGAAAATGGTGAACATCCCGAAGACCCGCAACACCTTCTGCCGCGGCTCCAAGTGCCGCAAGCACACCCCCCACAAAGTGTCTCAGTACAAAAAGGGGAAGGACTCCCTCGTGGTCCAGGGCAAGCGGCGCTACGACGCGAAGCAGAAGGGCTTCGGGGGCCAGACCAAACCCATTTTCCGAAAGAAGGCCAAAACCACCAAAAAAATCGTCCTCAAACTCGTAAGATGCAGCAGCAGCAGCGGCAGCAGCAGCGGCTGCAGCAGCAGCGGCTGCAGCAGCAGCGGCTGCAGTAGCAGCGGCTGCAGCAGCAGCGGAGGTGGTTGTACTGGTAGTGCGGCGGGTCGTGCCTTGAAAGCGCAGGAGTAGCCGATCTGTGGGGAGCCACAGGCGCTGCTGTATCCAGTCTATTTGTTGGGGTGTATGTACACTGCGATCCACGCGTTGTCGCTCTCTCCTGTGCTGCTGCTGCTGCCCGTTGCTGCTGCTGTTGCTTCTGCACTCGCGGGGAGCTGCGGGGTCAGAGCAATCAGCTGCTGCCGCTGCTGGGTCCATCTCTATTCTGTCTGCTCATGTGTCTGCGTAGCTCAGCAGCAGCGAGAAGGCCGTTTGCTGCTGCTGCATTTGCTGCTGTGTGTTGCTGCTGCTGTGCTGCTGCTGCTGCAGGAGTGCACCAAGTGCAAGACAAAGAGGCTGTTGCCCATTAAGCGCTGCAAGAGCTTCGAGTTGGGCGCCGACAAGAAGGCCAAGGGAGGCCCTCAGTTCTAAACAAGTCAGCAGCAGTAGCAGCAGCAGCGGCTGCTGCTGGCACTGCAAATGGTGCAGCTGCTGCAGCAGCGGCCCCTCCAGATCTGCTGCTGCTAGAGTATTTGTGTGCATTGCCGCCCTGCTGCAGCAGCCCTACGAGCGGGACCACCGCGCCCCGAGTTGGAGCTGCAGCAGCAGCAGCAGCGGAGGTAGCAGCAGCAGCAGCTGCTGCTGCTTTGGTGCTGCTTCCAGCGTAGGGACTTGTGGCTTTTGCTGGGAAGTGTTGGAGTTGTCTCATAATAGCTGCGGTGTACATAAACCTGAATTCTAGAACTTAGTGAAAGGCAGACAGAAGCGTCTTCAGTTTTAAATTGCAAACTGAAATTCAGAAAAAGGAGAAGAAATTGCGTCTTTTTCAGGTGTACGTACACTGTAGGCGCGTGTTAAGTTGCAACTGAAGTTCAGAAAAGGGAAAAGGAGTTGCCTCTTTCTCAGGTGTAAGTACACCTCAGGGCCGGAAGCGGCAGCCAAGGAAGTTATTTATTTTAAAAAGTTCGTTTTTTTTCTCTTCGAAGAAAGGAGCAGAGGCGACAACGCAGAGGGGGGCCTCTGACGGATTTATGCAGATCTGCAGAAAGATTTGTAATAATAAATATTCGTTATATACATATTTATATGCGTAACATATATTTATATAGATGTGCTTTACGTATATGTAGTGTATATATTTATACAAATATATTTTATGTGAATTATATGTGGATGTATGTATGTAGATTTGTGTCAAGGTGTATGTGCGGCTGAACAGGTGACCTTATGTATGTGCATTTATGTATGTGTTAAATAAGATGTATGTTGTACATATGTACATATATATATACATACATGCTTGCATGCATGCATGTATATTATGGACATACATTATATATATATATATTATATATATATATAATGTATATATGTATATATAATGTATATATGTAATATGCATGCATGCATAACACCAGCAAGGAAGCAGGTGAAGGATATTAGGGCCCAGTGGTGCATCTTGGAGCACGAAAGGCGAAATATGGCAGTGTCGGAAATTAGTTGAAGGGCTGACATCCTAGCAGTTGCGCATTCCCGTGGCACTACAGCAGTCAACATTGTTTTAAGCTGAAGTTTTAGTAATCTAGAGTTGCACTGCACAGTAAGAAGAGTCGACACTTTGACAGTATTAGCCGATGCCTTCGACTTGAGATAGCAGCGGGTCTGCATCCACTAGAGCACTATCGAGTTCCAATTCACACGCGCAACTTGCGCAGTTGCTTGGCAAGGCCTGCCGATTGCTGAATATAGTGCTGTATTAATTATTTTCTTATTTTTAAATAAATATTATGGACTGGCGGGCTCATGTTCGATTCGTGAACCCGATTCGTGAACCCTCCTGAGCACTGCGAAGCCTGCAGGAACGTGGGTGACTCCGCAAAGGCCGCACTGTCCCTACACTTGCGCAAAGCAGCGTGAGTCGATTGCTTGAGCATTCACAAACTCGAAATTCAGTTTGCGGCTGCCTTTAATTAGCTTGTCCTGCTCAGCGGTTTCGCCTGTCCCCTTGAAACGAGGGCTATAATTTTGACATGCCCTGCCATAGTCTAGTGCTGCCTGAAACTCCGTAGAAGAAGATTTTTGTCTGAAGACAGCACTTCCAAGGTACTAATCTGAGACGATGATGGGAATGGCTGAGGGCTAATGGCAGTGTTCAACTTTTTTCGTAGATGTCTGAGTCGAATCACCTCAGCTAACGGGGTGTGGGCTAAGGAACCGAATACAATGTGCAGCGTACCAATGTGTTCCGTCCAAAAAGCCCTCACATGGTATATAGTTCAATACCAGAGCAATTAATGTTTGACTAAGAAAACTAAGCAATTAAAATTGGCTTCATTGTAGGTTGCTTCTAGGATCCATTGCAGCTAATCCCAGGTTTCTGTGGCTGGCGGAAAACGGACTCTAGAGATTATATGCTGGCAGTAAAGAACCTCTAGAGGTTATATAGTTCAATCCTAGAACGATTAATCTGTGACTAAAAAAACAAAACGGAAAAATTCAGTGCAATAGGAGTTTGGTTCTAAGCTTCACTGCAGCCTATCCCCAGCTTTTTTGGCTGGCAGTTTAACGGCCTTTAAAGGTTACTTAGTCCAATACAAGAAGGATTAATGCAAGACTAGAAAGACCACACAAATAAACCTACCTTCATAGCAGGTTGGAGACAGTCTTCACTGCAGCTTATCCCAGGCTTTGTGGCATGCAATATGAGAGCGGTGGTGCCAATGCGCATGCGGACAGCCAGAGAATGGAACAGCAACCTTTCACTGCTCAGGATGAGGCTTTGTTGTTTTTAATTTATGTTTCGTTTCATTTAGTGAGTACAGGCAGGTATGTATTTTCGTAATCAGTTACAGAACTTTATGTGAGAGCCAAAATGTAATGCACAGCACCTACTGCTGCCACTACGCTCCTACCTGCCCCCTCGAGTGGGGGCCTGCTATAACCGTCTACCTACGGCGCATTTCCTTGAAACAGCAGCCCAACTACCACGAAATACATTTATTCATGGTTTTTCGAAATCTGTTCTCTGTAAAATCCCCCCCACTCGGAGTTCTCGCCTCCAAGGCCCTGTGGGGAGGAGGCCTGCATCGGTGCCGGCGCTATCGCCAGCCCCACTATCCGGGTACTTTAACGCACGTCTAGTGTATACACGCTAATTCGCCGACAAATTGGCTTACTTCGATCCTAGTAAGAGGGTCCTGTCTTCGTACCGTGTTATGACCTCTTGTAGGTCACCGGCAACCTATCTTCTATAGGTCACCAGCAAGCCCGATTGTAGTGCCTGTGCACTACACAAACTGCGGTCAGCTCGCCCACCAAAGTAATTGCGCGACTTCTGTGTGGTCGTGCAACGCGCTGATGGCCGGTGCATTGCATTCCAAGCATCACAGAATGTTCAGTGTATGAGGACAATCGTGCAACGCAGATAGATGTAGTGCGCAGGCACTACAATAGGACTTGCCCTTAAGAAGATAGCTAGCTGGTGACCTATAGGAGGTTAACACGCTCAACGAGGGGAGGAACTAGTAACGAGGTAAGGCAATCAGCAAAATAACATATGGAAAGTAGATGTGTCTGTGAATACCCTAAGATTAAGGCTGGCGAAAACACCCGCACCGGTGCGGGCCACCACCCCACAGGGCCGCCAAGGAAGCACGAACCCTAAGTGGGGGACTTCTAAGGAAAATCGATTTCAGAATTTGAGAAGACGACTGCTTTTACTGGTATTTGCTTCATAAGAGATGCGTCGAAGGTTGAAGGTTTTTCATAGGGCGCCCTATTCTTGGGCCAGGTAGGAGCGTAGTCGCAGCTGAAGGCGCTGTGGACTACAATGACTCTGGTTCTCTAGTACACCGCGATCTCTGCAGCGACTACGATGCTGCCTGGCCCACGACTTGGGCACTCTATGAAATTCTCTCTACCATCGACGCATCACCCATGAAACGAACACCAAATTATTAAAAAGGCAGTTCTGTTCAGAGTTATCAAAACCAAATTTCATAAAAGTCGCTCCTCATGGTTCTTTTTTTTTGCACGGTAGGAAGGTGACCCGCAGCGGTGCCAGCGTTGTCGCCGGCCCCAGTCCAAGAGTATTCGTAGACATTTCTAGTTTATACACGCTATTTTGCTGACAAATTTAATTTGTATTTTACTAGTAAGACGTTTCCGCGCTCT